AGGTACGCAGAGGGACAAGAGGGGGTTCTACACTCGGAGGGCTTGGTGGTGGCACCCCTACTTGCCCCCTTACTTCTGGCATATTGAGACAACGCAGCTTAAATTAAGGGGTTTGCCCAGTTAAGTTTATGAAATTAACCCTCAAAATGGACAAGTAAAAAATGTAAAGTGGTAGGTTTCTTATTCTTCTTTTGTTTCTATTCTATCATATATACAGTATATCAGAACATGAGTATATAACTTGTAAATATAAATTAGGTCTCTACACTCAAAAATAGGGTCAGATAATCAGAAAAGTTTAGAAACAATCTTGACAATTTGAGGGCCAAGCTTGTAAAGAAATTCTATTTCCCTTCCAGACTGCTTGTTTGGTGACTGCTTATAAATGCTCACTAAAGGGGATGGTAGTTTCTTTTTTCTTAAATACTGGCATGTCTACAAAGGTTCCTTATTTGGCTCTTTATTGACATTTACTACTCCTGCTTCTTGCTTTCAACCAAAGTAAAGAGTCACTGAAGACTAGGACACCTGTTCTTAAACAGCTATAAGATTTCAGACAATTCTCTCCACTTTTGAGTCCTAGTGTCCTGCCTGTAAACTTGTGGGAGTTGAACTCAGGATTCTAAGAAGGCCCCTTTGAGCTCTAACAGAGAATGAGTCTCCTTGAATTGTGTGCCCTACGTGCCTCATTTGCTTCATTCTAGTCCCAGCCCTGAGCTCTAAAATGCCTTGGGAACCAGTATATGCAAAGTCTGTCAGAAGAAAAGGAATTCAGAGTAAAAACATGTGCCCCCAGGGCCGGCCCAGTGGCCTAGTGGTTAAGTTTGTGCGCTCTGCTTCGGCGGCCCAGCGTTTTGCTGGTTTGGATCCTGGGTGCGGACATGGCACTGCTCATCAGGCCATGCTGATGCAGTGTCCCACATGCCACAACTGGAAGGACCCACAACTATGTACCGAGGGGCTTTGGGGAGAAAAAGGAAAAATAAAATCTTAAAAAAAAAAAAAAAAATAGTACCCCAATACCCAGACAATGTTCTATGAAAATAGCCAAAGTTGGAATGGTAGAGAATGTTAGTTGTGTGCCCCAACACCCATTCTTTCTCCTTTCTTAGTAACAGAACCCACATTTACCTGTGGCAGCAATTCTCCCAGCCTCACCAGCAGCTGGTGTGCATGTAAGCAGAGGTGCTGTGAGGAGAGCCTGGGAGGAGCCCTTAGTGGGGCTGGAGGGGCCACGCCTTCTGTGTTCTTTCCTCTACCACGCTGCCTGAAGTGCTAAGGTGGGAGCTTGGGAGCCACCCTGGCCCTGAGGATAAGGCCCACCCATTAGTGGGAGGGGAGGCATGAGAGGGAGAAGCCTGGGCCCCTACTGACTGTGGAACTGCCATACCTGCCCTGCACTGCTTACCTCTGGACTTTATGTAAGAAACTTCTACTTTATTTAAGCCATTAATTTTGGGTTTTTCTCTTATATGTTCCTGCATACAAGCTTAACAAATACAGATAAGTTAGCAGTAATTCAGAGATTTAATACCAATATGGTATTAGAAACTGGTAAGGAGCAAAGGAAACTGGACTCGGACCCTAACCAGGGCATGGTTTCTGAACACTTTATTGTACTCTAAGGAAAACAAAAACTAGGACACTACCTCAAACTCTAAGAAGAGCTTCCAGCTTTCTTCCCATTTCTGGACACCTTCAAAGAGTTCTTTGTGAACCTCATAGTAGTTTCTTAACCGCACAATCTCGGCATCATGGAGTTGGAGCAGATTTTCTGTGTAGTCCTCTGCAAGATATAGGCCCAGTAATTTTAAAAAATTCTTCTAGTGTTTAGTATCCCAATTTACTAATCCTTTGTCCCCCTAAGATGGAAATATTTTTCTTCCTTATAGTAAAAATGGTACAATAAATAAGTCTATATTATGGATAGTAAAAGCCAGGTTTGTCACGATCAGCCTGGGAGTACTAGGGACTAAAGGACTGGAGTGTGGACTAAAATGATTCAGATTCTCAAACCTCTGTCATCTCTTGCCTTGTCTTAGTTTCTTTCATATTGTCCCTTTCTACCCTGCCCAGTAGAGGGTTAGGTCACAGATAATGTCCAAAAACACTTGTTGAATTTAGTAAAGACAGCCTTACATTTATATTCAGTTCAGGTCAGACCAGAATTCCACTGGGCGCTGGGCTCCAACTCTGTGGGCTCAAATGTGGGCTCTGCCATTGACCTGCTTGCTGTGTGCCTCTGGGCTAAGTTGCTCAACATTTATGTGCCTTAGTGTCCTCATCTGTTGATATGAGGATTAAGTGAGATCCTATTGTTAAGGGTTTGACACCGCATCTGGCATAGAGTAAGCACCTGGTAAACTTAAGCTTCACAAGTACAGGTTACAGTGATATACTACTTCAGAAATCAAGAGAGCCCTTGTTTCCTAATAGCATGTGCAAATGGTTCTTTGTACAGGAATGGCAGTTTATGCTGAATGGCTTGAAAAGGTGGCTATATCTGTTCAGCAGAGGAAATACTTCCTGGTGAATGTATGCACTTGTAAAAGACAAGTGAGCAGGCCAGCTGAAGACCACCGCTTCTATACTAACCAGAATAGTAAGGGGCAAAAGCGTTTCTCTGCTCCTGGCTGTAAAAACACTGGTCCCAGTATTGAGCCAGCTCCACTCGAATGGCCTCAATCACTTTCTTCATGTTTTGCATCTTGAGTTCTTCCAACCGATCCACTTCTAATTGCAGCTGAAACAAAGAGACCTGTTAAAGGTGCCTGTCATGCTTTTATATTCATGGAGATTTGCAAAAGTTTCCCCCTCACCTTTTTTTTTGTGCTGGGAAAGATTCGCCCTCAACTAACATCTGTTGCCAGAGGAACATCAGTTCCTCTCTCTCTTTTTTTTTTTCCTCCCCAAAGCCCCAGTACACAGTTGTATATTCTAGTTGTAAGTCCTTCTAGTTCTTCTATGTGAATCGCTGCTACAGCATGGCTACTGACAGACAGTGGTGTGGCTCTGTGGCTAGGAACCAAACTCAGGCCGCTGACGCAGAGGACACTGAACTTTAACCACTAGGCCAGCAGGGCTGGCTCTAAAAGTTCCCCCTTTTCAAATAAAATTACAACACAAAGCCACCGGGGTAAATCAACACTCTATAACATTATAGGAGCCAGAAATCTAAGAAATGTACACAAAAGATAGAAGATGAACAAGCTATTGCCAACTTTCTCTGATGCTTGTATTAAAAACAAACTCACTCAAGGCAGAAGCGGTAAAGACATCAGACTTGACACAGGAGCTCTGCTCATACAGACTGTGGACCCAGCGCCTGTTGGGTTTCTTACCGCTTTCTTGACCTTGGCCTTTGACCCAGTCATAACCGTGGCCACAGCTTCTCTCTCTTCTGCAGGTATCTGCAATCTGTCCCAGAGCTCTCGGATCTGAGCTCGCAGACCCTCACACACTGCTTCATTTTGTGACTTTCGCATTTCTAGCTGTAGCAAAGAGAGCCGTGGTTATAGCAAAGGCAGCAGCACAGAAAATGCTAGCCCTCTGGCCTCCCACAAAGACAGTCTGGACCCACATGGAGAAGAAGCACTTTTACAAGATTGTGAAGAGCCGTGTTTTGATGACTTCTGAACACCAACTGTAAGGCTGTCATTATAGTAGGATCTCAAACCCCAAGACCTGGATTAAAATTTTGAATTAAAAAAGATTTTTTTCAATTAAACACTAAGCTAATTCACATGACTATTATTTCATCCAAAATTTCAATTTCACATTCTTAGAGGTACATACACATTTTTTGTTAAAAAAAAGAAAGTCAAGTTTGTATATCATATAATACTATTTTATCCTCTCTCATTCTCTTCAGTTAGACTGGCTCCTTATTTAAGACTCAAGGAAAAAAACTCGATTTTTTCAAATTGCTGGAGATGCTGGAGATCCCAGGCCGTAATCTGAGTAGACCTTACCTGCCGCAGCAACTTCTGTAGTGTTGTAATGTTCTCCAAAGACAGGCAAAAGGCATCTTCATCTTCACACACCACATCTCTTTCAAAGCTGGTGTCTGGGGTGTGATCTAATTCTTCCATACACAGTATGATCTGTCTCTTTAGGTTGACAAACTCCTCATGCCTGGACGCCTATAAAATAAGATGATTAGGAGCTACGCAGAGGAAAGTGAGGCGACCTTTGAGGAAGTGCGAATGCAGCAGCATACCTTTGCCTGCCTCAGTGTTGCCACATGCTGTCTGAACTGGCTCAGCTCTTCTAAGCTGGGAACCGAGGTGCTGCCAACATCATAGTGGGGCATGCAAAGAATTTCACACAGTTCCTGATCTTGTTCTTGAAGTAGTTTCAGTTCCTGTTTTCTCTCCTTTTTCTGTTTTCGCATGAGTTCTACCTGAGTGCGCAAATCCTTTTCTAGTTGCAGGATGGTTGTCTCTCCTTCTTCCTGGAATATAAGACAATGTACCACTGTTCTAAGGTTCCAGGTGGATTTCTTCCAAGGAAGAGAAGGACAACGGAAGAAGGCTAGGATGATGGACTTTTAGTTAAACTTACAAATAAGTCAACTCATGGCCAACAGAATATGGCACAAAGAGGATCCCCTAAGGAAAGCATCTAATAAAGAAAGGTACCAGGGCACTTTGCAAGAGGTGAAAATTGGTTGGAAAGCTTGCTTTGAGTCGGCTATAGGGTATTATATTTAGCTCGTAACTAAACGCTCAACCTAATAATCCTAAGAACATCACCTAACGAGTAAAAATTTAGTAGTCCTTGCTCTACTCCTAACTGATGAACAGGAAAAAAAAAGTGGCAGTTGTATGTCCTATTCAACACCGGTGAATTAAGAGCTCTCATGTAATTTAAGGGAGAGGGGCTACTGTACACCTAACCTCTCATTAAATTTCACATCGAAATTTAAATTTAAAAAAAAAGTCCAAATGAAACTATTTGTCCAAAATCAATGATATTTATGCCATTTCTGTTAATTCCAGGAAACCCCACTGATGTCATGGTCTGCCTGATTGCTCTTGGCTGCCAGGTATGAAGTGTCCTTAACGCTTTAAAAGCAGTCTCCCTCCTAGGCTGACTCCATCTAGATATCCAGGCAGTTCTTCCTGTAACAGGGGAAGGGACCCAAGAACCTTATGGGTGCCACACCAGCCACAGTGTGCTGTCCCTGCACCCACATCTGTTCTGATCACCTTCCCACACTCTACGTATGTTTTCATTTTTAGGATTCCAACACTGTTTTTACTGGTTCTCCCCAGGGATATGTTTTGGGGCCCCATCTGTTATTCATTTCATCCTTGTTGGTGTCCTCATTTAAGCCCCTGACTTGTGCTGGGCCATAATACAGCAACCTCTCAGCTAGGTCCACGGTAACTGTGGCATGCTCTGAACTTGCCCATGTCCTCCTGATATCCAGCTATGGAGACATTTCTTCTCAAGTAGCCATTTTGGCTGGCTCAGTGGTATGCAGCTTCTGGATATGAAAAAACCCACAAAGGCAGGTTTTTGGGTAACTTTCCCTTGCATCACTAGTTACTTTTGCTTCCTAGGTAGTTCTTTTCATTTTCGTTCAAAGAAAGAATAGTATAGTACCATCTTGCCTGGCTTCTCCTCAGGGTTAAAAAATTTTTATATGCCCTACAAGTTGATAGCCAAAGAAAGCTTGTTTTTGATCAAACCATTGCAACACTTATTAGCTTCTTCACCTCTCAACAGGGTGGGCAACCCTTTACATAAGTGAACATTACTTTGCTGGAACTAATTAACCAGGCAGCGTGTTTCCTCACTTCTCATGTCCAGTACCACCCTACCCTACAAAGAAACTTTCCACTTGCAGCCCTAAGTCAAAGCTCCTTCCTAAATCTCAGACTCAAGCAGGATCCCCGGAGACCCGACCAGGTACCTGAAATGGCTCGACATGTAACTCGCTGCACAGGGTGTTCAGCTCTTTTTGACAGATGGAGATGCTTTTGATGAGCCTTTCCTTCAGGCTTTCCTCTTCAGCAATCATCATATCCAGGAGGTCCTACAAGAGAAAAAACAGTCCTATAAAAATTTAAGGCCAATGGGAAAAAAAAAACCCAAACCAATAAATAACACCAAAACCTTCATAAATACAAATTTTTAAGAAAGGAATTAAAAACAAACAAAACCAGAAGAGCATGTGACATCCTAGTGTCACTTCTATATGCTATCTCAGCGATCTTACCCCGTCCCACTGCAAAGAGCCCACCCAGTACTTCTCAACTCACCTTGATATGTTTCTTCACAACCTCGGTTCTTTGTAACCGCTGGTCCTCTGGAATCCCAATTAATTCCCATATTTCCCGAAGGTGATTCAGGGCTTTCTGGAGACATACTATGGACTCCTCTGCCAGCACCTCACTGAAAAGCAAAAGAGAAGTCAGTTACATGAGCCAGTGACTCCAGACTAAAAGAAGTATTTAAAGGAACTAAATAAACTAGTTTCTCAATGGCCTCAAGGATAAAACAAATTGAAAACAAGCACTCAGCTTAATTTATCTTTAACCACTCCCCTCCACTTCTCTCTTAAAACACGACAACACTGGCACAGCAAAATTCAGTATCATATTATATTGTGGAAATTCAATCTTCCTAATAATACTCAGAATCTGGACTTTCATCAATGACTCTACCTAAGCAGTATAAGAGAGAATTATAAATCCTTTTTTTTGAGGAAGATTAGCCCTGAGCTAATGTCTGCCGCCAATCCTCCTCTTTTTGCTGAGGAAGACTTGCCCTGAGCTAACATCCATGCCCATCTCCCTCTACTTTATATGTGGGACACCTACCACAAGTGGTGCCATGTCCGCACCTGGGATGCAAACTGGCGAACCCTGAGCTGCTGAAGCAGAACATAACCACTGCACCACCGGCCAGCCCCTATAAATCCTTTTGTTAAAAAAAAAACGGGCCGGGGGCTGGCCCCGTGGCCGAGTGGTTAAGTTCGCGCACTCCGCTGCAGGCGTCCCAGTGTTTCGTTGGTTCGAATCCTGGGCGTGGACATGGCACTGCTCATCAAACCATGCTGAGGCAGCATCCCGCATACCACAACTAGAAGAACCCACAACGAGAAATATACAACTATGTACTGGGGGCTTCTTTGGGGAGAAAAAGGAAAAAATGAAATCTTTAAAAAAAAAAAAAAAAAAAAGGCCAGCCCCGTGACCAAGTGGTTAAGTTTGCCCGCTTCACTTCGGTAGCCTAGGGTTTCACAGGTTTGGATCCTGGGCGCAGACATGGCACCGCTCATCAAGCCATGCTGAGGCAGTGTCCCACATGCCACAACTAGAAGGATCTATAACTAGAATATGCAACTGTGTGCTGGGGGGCTTTGGGAGAAGAAGAAGAAGAAGAAAAAAAAAAGAAGATTGGCAACAGATGTTAGTTCAGATGCCAATCTTTAAAAAAAAAAAAACCAAAAAAACAGGAGCTTGCCGGTGGTGTAGTGGTTAAGTCCGAGGACTCCACTTCAGAGGCCCAGGGTTCACTGTTTCAGATCCCAGGCACAGACACACACACCACTCATCAAGCCATGCTGTGGTAGGCATCCCACTTATAAAGTAGAGGAAGATGGGCTTGGATGTTAGCTCAGGGCCAGTCTTCCTTAGCAAAAAGAGGAGGATTGGCAGCAGTTAGCTCAGGGCTAATCTTCCTCAAAAAAAAAAAACCAAAAGAAGAAGAAGATGGCAAAACTACAGTGAAAGGAAGCAAATTAGCTGCCTGGGATCAGGGCAGGGGATCAAGAGTAAAAGAGCACAAGGAGACGTCACCAAGATGGCGGAGTGAGTAGTCTTCTTTGTCTCTCCCCCTTCAAATCTACAACTAATTGGACATTCGTTGGTTAACAAAGGATATCCATACAGCACCTCAGGACGCCTGAGAGACCTGTGCTGCTATACATCAGAAGGCGGATGGACTTCCCCCCGGGAGGAGGTGGAGATAGGTGACCCACGGACAGCCTAGTACCTGCAAGTGACTTTCTTCCAGTGGACTCCCCCATAGCATTGCCACGCACCAAGGGCAGGAGTGTTTGCACGCCGGCAGAGCGACGGTGGAAACAGGTGACTATAGCCCTACCTAAGCCCCTCGCTATTACACCTAAGCCCAGGGGGAAACTCGAGGGTCCTGCACCGGCGGCAGGGAAAGCCTCTACTCACCATTAGCGGAGAGGCTCTGCCTGGCATTCAGAACACCGGGAGGCTTCTGAAGAGGAGGATTCTGAGCAGGGCAGCAGCCCGCCAGCCGCCGCCAGACTCACAGACTCCAACTGTCTCCCAGACGGGAAAAGGGCCTCCCGGAGATCCCGTGGGAGTGCTCTGGGGCTGGGTGGAGTTCCAGCTGCCAGTTTCTGCAACCCAGGGGGAAACTCCAGGGTCCCGCACCGGCGGAAGGGAAAGCCTTCACTCGCCATTAGCAGAGAGGCCCTGCCCAGCATTCAGAATGCCAGGAGGCTCCCAAAGAGGAGGATCCCGGGCAGGGCAGCAGCCCGCCAGCCACCTCTGGACTCACAGACTCTGGCTGTGTCTCAGAGGAGGCAAGAAGCACCCAGAGATCCTGTGGGCGTGGTCGGGGGCTGGGTGGAGCTCCAGTGGCCTGGCTCCATGGCCCAGGGGGAAACTCCAGGGTCCCACAGCAGCCTCAGCGAAAGCCTCTGCACAGCCCTAGTGGAGAGGCCCCAACCGGCAATCACAAGGCTGGAAGGCCCTGGGGCAAAAGTAGCACAGCTAGGTGAGCTAATCACAGACTGCAGAAGATACCTATAGCTCTGCTGTGACCTATAGTGGACAAGTGAGATTTTGTGGGCTCTGACAGTGACAGAGCTGTGAATATAGGTGATCCTGCTCCCGGCTGCTGGGAAAGCCCATAACACCACTGCAGACCCCAAGGAGGAAGCACGTCTAGGTGGTCTGCAACAGTAGGCACCAGCAGCCTGAAGCCCCCTTGCGATTGCCCCCACAGCTGAAGAGGGACCCCACAGGACCACTGTGACTACGAGGAGGAGCCCAGATCCAGTCAGCAACAGCTGACAGGGTTCCTGGTCGGTGCAATCTAAACAGCTGCTACCCCCCACATACCACTAGAAACAAGTGGAAGCAGTAACTAAACTCTATCTCTATGTGGAGGCACAAATCCACGCCATCAAGCAGTATGAAAAAATATATTAAATCTCCAAACCAGAAGGAAAATGACAAGTACCTAGAAAACAATCCCAAAGACCATGAAATCTATAACCTAAATGACGATGAATTCAAAACAGCCATTATTTAAAAACTCAATGAGTTAAAAGAGAATACAGATAAACAACTCAACGAATTCAGGAGCTATGTCACAAAAGAGCTTGATACTATAAAGAAGAACCAAGCAGAAATACTGGAGATGAAGAACACAATGGAGGAGAGTAAGAAAAATCTGGACTCTCTGAACAGTAGTGTCGATAACATGGAGGACAGAATTAGTAACTTGGAGGATAGGAATATAAAAATGCTGCAGACAGAGGAAGAGAGAGAACTAAGACTAAAAAGAAATGAAGAAACTCTCCAAGAATTATCCGACTTAATTAGGAGATGCAACATAAGGATTATAGGTATACCAGAGTGAGAAGAGAAGGAGAAGGGGGCAGAAAGCCTGTTCAAAGAAATAATGGCTGAGAATTTTCCAAACCTGGACAGAGAGAGATGGAACCTCATGTGACAGAAGCCAATAGATCTCCAAACTTTATCAACGTAAGAAGACCAACCCCAAGGCATACAGTAGTGAAGCTAGCAAAAGTCAACGACAAAAAGAAAATACTAAGGGCAGCCAGGCAGAAGAAAATAACCTGCAAAGGAACCCCCATAAGGCTGTCAGCAGATTTCTCAGCAGATACCTTACAGGCTAGAAGAGACTGGAATGATATATTCAAAACTCTGAAGGACAAAAACCTGCAGCCAAGAATACTCTACCCAGCGAAAACATCCTTCAAATACGATGGAGAAATAAAAACTTTCCCAGATAAACAAAAGTTAAGGGAGTTCATTGCCACAAGACCTCCTCTTCAAGAAATGCTCAGGAAGACCCTCATACCTGAAAAATCAAAAAAAGGAAAAGGGTTACAAAACCCAGAGCAAAGGAGATAAGCAGAAGGACAATAACAGAAAGTAGCAGCTCTCCATCAGAACAGGTTAGTAAAAGTTAAATAAAACATTAAAGATAAATGGAATGGAAACACCAAGAATAAATAAAATCCTGTCATTTTAACCACAAACTCACAACACAAGAAGGAAGAGGAAAAAAAAAAATCTGACAATAACAACCTAGAAGGGGAAAAGAAAAGGGATGGAACGTTTTAATTTAAGGAAATAAGAGGCTATCAGAAAATGGACTATCTCATCTATGAGATGTTTTATACAAACCACCTGGTAACCACTAAACAAATAACAAGAATAAAGACACAAATTACAAATAAGAAGAAAGCCAATACAGAAATTTACCTACCTGAATTAGTAATCCAAAAATCATGGGACAAGAAACAAAGGAAATGCAAGAGAACCTGAAAACAAGTGATAAAATGGCAGCGGTAGGCCCCCACATTTCAATAATCACTCTGAATGTAAATGGATTGAACTCTCCAATCAAAAGACACAGAGTGGCAGGATGGATCAAAGAACAAGACCCAACAATGTGCTGCCTCCAGGAAACACACCTCAGCCCCAAAGACAAACACAGACTCAGAGTGAAGGGATGGAAGACAATACTCCAAGCTAATAATGAACAAAAGAAAGCTGGTGTCACCATACTTATAATCAGACAAAGTAGACTTCAAAGTAAAACAGATAAAGAAAGACAAAGAGGGGCAGTATATAATGATAAAAGGGACACTCCACCAAGATGACATAACACTTTAT